TCTCTCTCTCTGTGTCCAGTACTAACCTGTGAAGTGGGCGCCTTGATGCAGGTACCACGAAGATGGAGCTGGAGCGATGGCGCCACAGGTAAGTAACACTGGCCTCCGCCAGTCTCTCTCCCCCTCTACGATGTACCACCTACCAGCGCCCAGCGCTGAAGACTACAGCTACAGCTATGGCGCCCAGCGCCGAAGACTACAGCTAGCGCTACTACTACTAGCGCTGAAAACTACTGCAGGGCTCCTCCTGAGTGCTGCGGCCGAATCCTGAAGACTACTACTGCCTACTGACACTACCTACCCGTAAAGTGCATGGGAACCTCCTATGTACTACGGGTGTGCCTCTTGAGCCTGCCGAAAGGAGGCAGGGGCTGCTGCTGCAGCTCCTGCTCGAGCACGTGAGGAACAGGCTATTTTGGGCCTGTTCCGCATCCCTGTTTCCGTGCCTGAGTCTTAGGGGCAGGTCGAAACAATGAGGGCCTGAAAATGGCCCTCCGTTTCAGGCTGAAAACCCTGGGTCTGAAAAGACCCAGAAATAGGCTGAAACGAGGTAGGGCCTGCAGGCCCTCGTTTTTCAGCATCCAGGCTGAAACGAACGGGGCCTGTAAGCCCTAAGTTTTAGGCTTTTAGGCTGAATGTCCGGGACGGGCCCTGCAGGGCCCGTGTGGCTACGCAGTATGCCACAGAGTCTTTCAAAACAGAGTGTTTGGTGGCGAGGTCCGAAGTTGCCTGCTGATGTCATATTGCCAATACACTGTGACACCTTCCTTTCTTTCCGTAGCCCCCTTTTTACGGATTCTTTCCTTGAATCTTCCGTCGTCATTGTGCCCGTCGACGTTGAGCTCATGCTGATATTGTCTATCCATTGTTTAGACCATACTACCTGTACTGCTCGTCCTCGCTCTACGTACTTTGGTGCTCTCAGGTTCTGCATGTCTCCCTCTCCTCTGTCTCCCTAGACGTCCGTCCTCTGGAGGTGTTACTACCCAATTCTCAAAGCCAACCCTTTTCCCTTCTAGTTTACCTACTTTTCCCTTGCCTAACTGAGTGTTAGAAAGTGTTCTCTTGTTATATCCCCCTTGTCTGGAGACTGCTTATTCTTTCCTTGGAGGCTTCGAAAGGCACTACTGTCTTCACCCGAATAGAACGCCCGGTCATGAGGACGGAGAGAAAGATACACCCAATAACAGCACCTCGTCACACACACCATGTATTGGAAAATGAAATCCACACTGAAATCAAACTGAGTATTGGATCGGCGGAAAACCCTCGACCTGTAGGAATGAAGATGCAGGAACCGGTCTCCAGCGAACAGGCAGTGGAACGGGATGAAAGGGATGTTGGCCCCGGTTTCCAACAGATGTAGCCCCCCCCCCCCCCAATAGGTAGGAGTGAGCCTTCACACTGGGTACCACTGTAGGAGGCTGCTCTTACCACCTTCTAAACTGAGCCACCTACCGTCTTCACCCAAGTAGAACGCCCAGTCATTATCGCCGCATCTGGACTGAAAATCGCCCCAAATACAGCTGTAATGGCAGGGCGTTCTATTCGGGTGAAGACGGTAGGACGAAGTTCAAAAAAGAAAAAAGAAAAAGGTTCTAAATACCTCAAAAACTTTTCTCTAGCTTGAGTAACACTGTCTCTATCTAACCTAGGAGTGTCGGAAGTATGCTAGTCCTGAAAAAAACCCTGCCACTACTCGGAGAGTTGCCGGCCTGTGAGTCCTGAATTACTACCACTATACTGCTTTCAGGCCTACGGCTCGACTATTCCTATTATTGCCTTTTAATTTCTGAAAGAAAAGCTCAGGCATTGTCTTGTTCGACACCCAATCTTTGACTCGAAGCCCAAATCCGCAACCGTTGTAACTTCCACCTCGCCCTTCGGAACATTTCTTCCTTGGCCATTTTTTTTATAGCCCCTCATACATCATAGATGACAGATTAGAAACTAAATTATATAATTATATTCTGCTGTTGCAACCATAGGATCTAGTGACTTGTCCCTTTCTTTACGTCTAGCTGCTATATGTGTGGAGGTTTTGCTAAGTCATGCATTCAATCTGGATAGCACGATCGGAAACAGCGTACCCATTGACGCTGTGTCTAGAACTCTTCTCTAGCTTGTTGCCATATTTTCTATCTGTGGTTTCCCTTTACTACCCCCGCGCAGCAATCCCAACAGCCGTTATCGATTTTCCTCCCACCTGGTCTTCTTTGATACTGTCAATATTTCTTATACTTTACGGCTAAACCTCTGTTAAGTATGATAATTAAACCCCCCATGCAGGAGGTATTTGGAGAAGGGGCCCATATAGCCCCTCATACAGTTCTTATTTGGCAAATGATGTCATTCTGAATCACTCTACGGTCACTGGAATCCGTAAGGGGACTTTGAAATCTGCTGACTCAATTGCCAAAACAGAGAACAGAGTATGTTTCCCCTTACCTCTTTTATTTTCCCTAAGTTCCCTTCACACTGTCACAGAGCCAAAGATCCTCAAAACCTTTTCTGAAGAGAGCTTGTTTAGATTTCTCCATTTTGAAATCTGCCTCTATTCTCCTCGCACCTTTTCTTCCATCCTTCTCTGATTTCAGTCTCTACCACTTGTTCGATTCCGTCCACATCTCCATTAATGTGATTGCCTTGTGCACCAATGAGCCTGCCTAGCTCAGTTGGTACACTCATGAACTGTTGATAAATAACTTGATATACAGACCCAAGTGTGAATCCTGAATGACCTAGATGTAATATGTATGCATCGAAATAATTCCTGATGCTGGGGCTGGTCAACTCGATGATGATATCTGGAGGCCGTCGCCCTTTTGAAAAAAAAAAGAAGGGAAAAAAAGTGATTGCTTTGTATACTCACACTGCTAAGGACAGCTCAGCGCAACCTGCTTTGGAAAACGGGTGCATGCTAGACCTGCTGAGAAAGACAGAGCTATGTTTTGTTTGGAAAGCCAGGTGCAGCCCGTACCACTCGTTCTTCCTTTGTTCTGTCTAGCTTTTCGACTATTTGTTTGGTCTTGATCATGTCCACTGCTGTCTTTGCTGCCAACCGACTGAACTGAGTTCTTAGAGCTAGGCTGTTTGGCCGGGCGCACAGGCCGACCAAATCTGCCGGAAGGCCGCCCAACCGCCCTGCTGTGCAGATGCCCCGGGTGAGGTGCCGGGTGGATTTTGCTCCTTTGGCCACGGGCCCTTTTCAGACCCAGTGGCCAGCCTGGTCCACTGGCCGCAGCTCCAAACAAACATCTCCCTGCAATGAATTGCAGTATTCAGGGGGCTGTACACTAAAGTAGGACTGTTTTGCGATTTTCTTAGGTCTAGGGGTCCTAACCGTAGGCGCCACAAGCCTCGTCCCTTGTAGGGACTTTTTTGCAATTCTTGTTATTTCAGGCCCAGCCTGTTAGGTACTGGCCGGCCCACGCTGTTTCGGTTCCTCCTTTTCCCCTTTCACTGTTTTCAGTCTAGATTCGGTCAGGCTGTAGGTGTTAGTCCATCGGTAAGTCACTGGGGAGAGCAACAAAATGCCGGGGGGGCGATTTTGTTCGGGTTCTTTTCGTTCATTCCTTTCACGAAGTGCTGCTGAAGGTCGCGTTATGCTGCTGCGC